AATATGCAAAATGTTGTTTCAATTTATGGGAATAACCAAATTACTAATTTTTATTCCACTCTTGAAGTTGTGTGAAATCGTTGTAATCAGTCCACTTGGATTACCAGTTTCCTCTTGATTCGCAAGTATACGCAACAGGGTACGAATTATATGCTTTCAATCGACACCTATAAATCTGCCACCAGGTAGAAAATGTCATAATTTGTATTAATAGCGTACACATCTTTCTAATCATCTCGTTCTGCTTCCTTTGTTTATCAAATTAGTGGTGAAATCGATGTGTTGCACAATAGCAAAATGTGTAACAAGTCCATGCAGCAATCTGCATACGAAAGATACTGCATTTAGGTTAACTTATTGCTAGCCTTCTGAAAATGTGGCTTTCATTCAGTGAGAATTCGTGATAGTACAAGAATATCACAAATCTTTTGTTGCTCGCAGGATGATGCCAACCCAAATCGATTTATGACAGGGACAAGAACTACATACTAAATTTTTCATATCAAATTCGCAGCAGTACTCAAAGCCCTTGCACATCCTTCGAGATACACGTTTATTAGATTTCCTCGAGATTTATGTCTCATTTCCCGTGGCAGGTTGAGAAGTTTGTAAACATGATTACGATAAAGAAAAGCGTAATTCGATCCACGCTGACTGACTAATCTGCAAATGTACACATGTCCTCAATGTACAAACACTTGTTCCCTCAACTCGTCCCTTTACATATCCCTGTCAAACTCATCAAATGAAATTAATCCAAGGCGTTTGTTGTCATCCAATAATCATTACTGTTGCTGCAACCACAGCGCAGCAAGAAATGGCAGACGACAACAAGCAAATGATAATGGTGATATAATGGGACATTTATTTTTGACCCAGATGAAACGACCGCAAGGTGTAACACTTAGCTAATCAAGGTTCTCAAATTGGTCGGTAAATCTCATACAATTGTGCGTAAAAGTCTGTGAAATCGTACATATTAAATTTCAACAAGAGAAGAGCCAATCCGTACAAATTATTCTTTATTTCGACACCCGCACGATTGTATTATTTTTGAAGGACGCCAACTTTTTGTCCACTTTCAATCGTGGGACAATTGATCTGCTTTACACCGATTCAGTTGGGTCAACACCCTTCATCACAAGAAACCACGATATTTATTCTGAAAATGCTGAAAGTCTTAAAGGAAATGGCAGCCACACGCATCCATCCATGATTCTCAATAGTTCTCATTATGACTGCTTGATTTACTTGTGTATAATATGGCAATTGAGATGGATGTTCCCACACATGTGGAACTCGTGTTATGTCACGCAGGATTGTTAGCCATAGTTCATTGTTCTTCTGGTGTGTGTGCTCGTCACGGAAACAAATTGTGAGCTTTCAAAGAGAGACATCTCCATCCCAATTGCATTTTCATTGCGACTTAATTATCATAGCACCTGACACAGGAGGAAGTACGTACGTACACCTTCCATAAAGTGCAAGGAAATGGGAAACAATTGAATTGGCCTCGCAAAAAGAGAGCATTCTTACTGCCCAGCTCTACAGAGAGAATTAAAAGTAGCTCTTTTGGAACATTACACTCTTGTCTTAAGCCTGTTTTAATTAATCTGGCCCAAATTGTTAGGAAATGAAATGAAACTGGGCAAAAATGGGAACGCTTTTCTTCCGTTCCCATTCCGAAACACGGCGGTCCACTCAGGACTTGAAAAGCGACTTTGGCATTTGATGACTTGATAAAATTGCCTTTAGTTCCACACTTCATCAGAATTGCACTGCAGATTGTTTGCGAAATGCTTAGACGTGCAAAGTGCAAACAAATGCAATTATTATCATGCGTTTCAAATTATGAAACGATCTGAACGTACGTACATAACATTTCTATTTTCTATTCTACGGCTGCTGGTCAGATTTTTATACAAGGACCGTAACTGCAGAAAATCCCATCAATCAGGAAATCACGATCAATCATTATTACTCGACATAATTATGATGAGTTGCCCACATTTCATTCTGCAGAAAGGGATTATTATTCCTCGCTTCTTATTCTTGCTGCAAGAGTATAATCAGTTCATCACTAGTCGTCTCTCAAAATCGGCTTCGTGTCAAATTCATACAGCCGTCACGCTATCAACAGCTATCCACAAATCAAAGCCTGCATTCATCCCTTGCATACCATGCACTGCGAAGAAAGGGAAGATTATTATAGTGGCATCTCTGAAAAAACTGTCTGCATTCATTTTAAATAAGTAATGTACGAGTACACAGTATCATTCACCCAGCTATTGACCGGCGTAATGAAGTAAAATGAGAAATAATTCGTGGAACAAAAACTTTGGGGTTTATGAAGCTGAGAATTGGAATAAAGTCTGCATATTAGACTGAGATTCAGATGCTACATATCAGTCACATTACTTTTCAACGCCTGAATGAAAAGTGCTACTTGGGGAGGTCTTAAAACTTTCTGAATGGTCGGATTTATTCGTAATGATACTTGGAGCTTTCACCTCCTTGTGGAGACGACGTGTAATTATGTATCCAACAATAAGTATATCTAACCACGGGAATCTTTTCATCGTCAGAACTTTAGCCAACTCATGTAAAGCAATGTGTATGTATGTTGAAGGGAATTGTAACCTTTTCCCAACTAAAAGCTTCCTCATGATATGTATGATTGACCACAACGCTACATACTTGTTGCTTGATTTCTACGCAAAGTACGTACTTATTTTGATAAGCATTGCACCATCTGTGCATACTTATGCTTATGTATAGGAATAACAAATGCGTATGTTGATGACAGTTTAATAATGACGATTTATCGTACATACATCAGTTACATGCTTACATTCTCTTTAAAAGTTTGTGCAGTACAAAATTGATCGAAAATACTATTACTACTAATAATAATTTGGTGATGTTGTTTATCACAGCCTCCCAATATGATCAGCACAACGTATAGAAAATGCGTATCGAAGGAATGAAAATGCTAAAGATGTGTCATTTACAATTCGCAACATCGAATTAATCGTGTCTTGCGATATGTTGTGCGTGATTGAGCCGTTGTTTGGTCTGGTCACATGGTGAAATCAGTATTAAGAGAGCCTCATAATTATGGATGGGGCCAAGCAGGGGGTGGTGGACGCAGGTTAAGTGCAAATTCATGACAGACGATGAATTCACGATACGATAAATAGAGAGAGAGAGATGTTCCATATGAATATCTCTCCTGAATAAAAGGCTTCGATGCCATTTTTTGCGACTTTCAGTGGTTCACTTCATCAGTGAATTTTGCAATGAGTGGTGCCAATGTAAAGTCGAATCGTGTCACAATCAGGATAAGAGGCACAGACAGGTGCATCGTGACCACTGGCTGTGCTAGATGCATTAGAGACCAATGATGATTACACATTCAACCATCATAATAATAACTCCGACAATTGAGTCTGATACACTGTACGACTTGAAGATATGTACTAATTCACAAAGAAAGCATAGGAAAAATATCCCCAGGACCGTCACGAAGACACCACCCCCACGACGACTGAGAAGTGCAAAATTAAAGAATTGAGAAATCTCAAATGTCGATAATCGCTACACAGGTTTAATTATCGTTATCAAAAAATGATGGCAGATTTTACGATGACAAGTTTCCCTTTATGATTTGTTGATGAAGTCGTAAACTTGCCTGAAAGATGTACTTATTAAAATGTAAAATTGATAATTAGTACATGTGTTACACACAAGCAGAGTGATAAATCTGTTACTAAATGTTTTTTACTATTTGCGAGAAACTTATTTGTATTTAAAATCTGCAAATTTCTGTAATTCCTTGATTACCTGCACAAGTCGTCAGTTTGCAATGAAACGACGATCAGAGTACGAGTGTCTCGAAATTGCATTCTTTTCGATTACCTAAACCAATGAAACTGAACAAGTGACGCGATAATGAATTGCTAATTGATAAAAGATGTGAACAGAGCGAAGAAGCAGCAGCACGTACAAGTTTCTCATGTTCATGAAAAGAAGATGAAGACAAAGCAACAGTTTCTACTTTTTTCTGGTAACATAACTTGCTAAAAGAGACACAACAATGACACCGAACTCTGATCAAAGCAAGAAACGGGAGAAACAAAGCAACACTCTTCTCGACTCCTTGTACGAATAATTCGTCAACAAGCAAAATAGAAAGCACTAATATTTAAAAGTAGGAGGAGGAGGAAGTGGGTCGACAATCTTCCTCACAGTTTGTCTACTATGGCTGGCATATTAAAGTACTTTGTTAAATGCTGAAAACGATACCATTTTGACTGAAAAGCCTACTTACGGGTGTAGGAAAAATTATGGGCGACATAAAAATGAAATTTACACGTTTGGCCAATCCACCCAAGAATCAAAATGTTCGCAACCCATCCATTTTATAAAATATGCAGAAGGGTTTTAGCCGTCTGACTGGAATCAGCCTTGCATATTATTCATTCATGGGAAAGTTTTAACGTGATGAAATTACGTGGTTTCATTTTAAACAATTTTGATCTGTGTGAGAAAAAATCAGTCAAGTGACAAAACAATTTTTCGCCTTCCACTTTCATTAATTATTCCAATCTCTTCCATTGCATTTGTTCAAGGGAAACTTCCAATATTTGGCAATGATTCAGCCATATCAACTTTAACGCTGTACGCTCAATTTTTGCAATAGATTAGCAATAAAATAACCATATAAATATAATGCAAATCTGCAAGTTATTATCCTCCCCTCTTTCTTCCAAAGGAACATAATCTGGGTTATTTTCGAATATAAATCTACATGAGATGACACGACTTTTGATTTATTCAGTAATTTTACAAACGTTGATTTTCTACATAATGAGAAAGGGGGGGGGGAAATAAAATCGCAAATCGTGAAAAATTCGCAATTATTACAAGAGTGTCCAAATATTTTTAATTAGTACAAACCCACAGCAAAACTGTATTAATTAGAAAATTGTGACTCTTACCGCCGTCGAGTGGGCCTAGCAAAGGGACGATGGCCGATGCTGACGTGGGTGGCAGGGCTCCACCCCCAACATTGTTCCCCTCACTTCTGCTGCTGACAATCGGAGTCAGGTTGCCTTTGCTCATCCCCTTTTCCAACAACTCGTCCCCACGGCTCCTGCCAAATAATGGAAAGTTTGCATGTTTTACAACGGTACGACTGCCCGATAAGGTTGCGTTCATTTACGATTTATGCAAATTTATTTTATTATGCGTTACGTAAGCCCATGCCATAAAATCAGTGGGCATTGTTTTACTTCTTCTGCTCCTTCCTACAAGAAGTGCACATCATCCCACTTAATCGTGTCAGTTACAGATAAATACTCGCAACAATAGAATTTACGGAATTCGCCTGCCTTGCTCCACATTATGACATGTTTTGAGTATTATGCACCATTTTTGGGTTCAAGTTACCTTTCTGTGAACACCACTTGCATACGAAATCAGGAAAGCTGGCTGATCTTGGTCACATTTAGCAATAATATCAGAGAACAGGCAGCCTTGGCTCCCCCAACAACAAGACCACGGAACAAGTTTCTCACCCACTGAGTTCTTGTTGTTGTGAGTCTTTCTCCTTATGGCGTTAAACTCCAGCCGTGCCTTTAGAAAGTGTCGCAAATAACAAATTTCTAATCATCACGATTCACGATTCATTTTTATAATATGCATTTTGTAGCGTTGTTACTACAACTTGCTCAACACGGATACATCAATTTGGAATTTGTGAGGAGGATTTTTTGTAAATTTGTTTTAGGATTGGCGTATATACGTTGGGCGGATGCGATGCTACGATGAGTCTCATTTCATTACCATTATGATGGATCATATTTCAAATTCCGTAGTAATGACAGGCTTGCAATATCACATTATCATCATGGTAATTTTTCCCCTCCTGATTATGGATGGGGGCTGAGAATATCGTGCCACATGCGTCCCAATTTTATCTGGCTGAACATTATCCTCCCTTTTCAATATCAAGAAAATACCAAAATGAGCATGTAAAATCAATTTATGCTCTCAGGATCAGCCAAATATGCTCGAATCATTGCTAGTTTTAGTAGAAAAGTCAAGAAAGAGTAAAAAAGCTGATATCAAAATAGAGAAGACGTACAGCCGAGGTGACGAATGAGTTTGAGGAGATGAGATTACTTTCATGTCAGAAGTTACATTCTGTCAGATGCTGTTTGGTTGGTCAGAGTGCTCTTGACCATTTTTGACATATTCCTGATAATACGACAAGGGTCGAAAAGATAAATGACAACTTTTACTTGGGTTCACAACACGAAACACGGACTTCGAAATAAATCACTGCATCTTAGAGACTCAGAGTCTAATGCATCTGCACATCCCCCAAGTAATTATGTAATGGTTGATAAGCTTGTGCATACCTGAGTTGATTTAGCTCTGTTTCGTGTTGGTTATTTCCCCTTCCGTTTGAACCTGCGTTGGAAGAATGCGGCGGATTATTATCACTTTGTACGTTGGAGGACGTCTGAATTTCCTTTCTTCTCAGAATTCCACTCATATATTGGATCTGGGAAGTAAATTTGCAACGAAAGTCTTCCGGCGGCCCACAGTCGAACATGTAACAGCTTCCAGAGCTCTGAAAACCAAGAGATTATGTTCTTTATTTTAATCTGGGAAGCTTATGCATAAAATGTCACACAGTTATTCCAATGTTGGTCATTATATGCGGACATGTGATTAAACTTATCACTCAAAACATCCATCAACCTTACTAAATACTTGGTATAATACTTTTTTGTTTTATTTTTTACAAATTCTTCATCTTAACTAATTCCTGCAACGTAGAATAGTTGCATAAAATTGCGCATTAATTAATCAGCCTTACAAAGGACAGACAGCCCCAAACTGTATGCACCATGTTTTTTTCGAGCCGGCGACTCTGTTGGTTTGCAATTTGTGCATGGAGATTGAACTTTTATTCCTAGTGAACTTTCCACAAAGGAGCCTTTAACTTATTCACATATTGTTTACACCAAGCGTGACAAATGCATAGAATTGGTCTCGGTAGCCAAAATCCTACATATGCATGAACATTTTTAGATAGTACCTCGCCTCGTGCTGTAATCACGATTTAGATGCTGTTGAGGAATTTGTAAAAGTGAGCAAATAAAATCCTTCGCAATTTCAAATTTAGAATGCAACGAGTCTATTGCAACAGAGCCAAAAACCACTTGTTTATTGTTCAACGGTTAAAAATAAAAGTGTATATTTTCAATGAGGAAAATCTTTATCACATTATTGGTAACTTTTTTTTACTAGTTTGGCATTATCTTCTTGACTGAAAATGAGTCTAATCATAAATTAATGCGATGAATAATGAGCTCATCATGCACACCGCTCCTCATTTCTGGTACTTTCAAGATATGGCTTTTTCTCAGATAATTCAACTTTTCATGTGTTAATTCGCACATTGATTTATTTGCATTTGAAATCTGTGCATCATGCAAAGCAAATAAGATATTTATGCAAGTGAATAATTTCCCAAAAATCCATTCAACAAGATTAGATGTAGATTGTAAGGTGTTTCTTGTCTTGAAAATTTGAGTAGTAATGAGATTATCAGATGTGCAACTGCCAATTATTTACACCTGTAGACACTGGCTCTGATTGACTCTCTTTTTCCACTGAAATACTAATTCAGAAAACCAACAAAAAATAAATTCGTAAGCAATAAAAGCTTATTATTTACGTACTCAATAATATTTGGGAGACGGAGATTATTTATTTTTAGATTATATAGGAAAGCAACTTGTTGAGGTTGGGCAGCACGGCAAACGAAGCTCGACGATTGATGACGCACTGCTAATAATTTGCACAACGATCTGTCATTGTCAATTGAAATGTCCTATGTACGAGCTCAATGGTACATATGTACTAATGCCTGTTGTTGTGCAATTTCTACCAAATTGCCACAAGTAACAAACACTTGTTGATACTCTACAATTGGGTTGGAAACTTGTGCTCGTCGAGTGGGCATGAATGAATATAATTAGTGTGCATACCATAAATATCGCATCTTGATACTACTGTTTATGTCAAAATCGAGTGTCAAACAAGACTCAATTATTAGAAGGAGAGAGAGAGAGATAAGAGACATATGTAATTTACTACCAGTGCGTACCACAACAAATAATAAATATTGGCCATGCATGCTGAGAAGGAGTGATTTTGAATGGACCAATGTCAAGTAATCAATGGAGAGGACATCATGCAGTTCATTGTTTACGAAGCTGTCCGTCGCACGCATGCCACATTTAAATATCTGACTGACTGACACATCCGCCATGCATAAATACGAACCTTTTCTTGGAAGACGGCGACGTTGCAGTACGGGGTGCGACAACAGAGGGTCAAACACTCCTCCCTTCCGTTCATCCCCAGGTCGGACTCGTTCAGGAAGCGGGCCCCCAAGTCCACAGAATCCTTGGTCCGAATGATGCTCCCCTCGCTTATCTCATAGTTGGGGAGGCACATGGACGACGACACGACTCCTCCACCCCCCGACGACGTGCGAGGACCACCCAAATTGGCTGGGAATTCGTCGTCGAACAAGGAGTCTTCAAAAGGACCGTTGTTGACGTTTATGCGGCTGCTGCCAAAGGGGTTGGAGTTGTGGGAGGAGGACACGCAGCTCGGAGACCACAACAACACTGCTAATACCACGAGAACCACAGTGCGACTACGACAAGACGATGTCTCGAGATTGTCATTTTTACTCGTCTGCCCTAAAAGCTCCATTCTGCTGACCGAATTTACACTACTAGAAATTCTAGATTTACGAGGAAATAAACTTGGAGAAAACTTGTTGACGGAGAAATCTATTTAGATATGTAGTTATCTGAGTAGTTGTTATCTAATTAAGCCTCCTCCCACGAAGGGAGAATGTTCTCGGCATAGCGGGCAAATATCTGCTTAGAGGCCAGCAGAAATTCCAGCATGTTCACTTGCAAATGTCAAGTGGCAAATGGTTGGTAGAGCAGCAGGTTGGGAAACACTGACTTTCGACTGACTCCAAGGGGCTGCTGACCAGAAGAACGTGGAGGAGAAAGTTATGTGTCGGAAATTCTCGTGCATCGATTTTCCATGGCTCGCCGTTATACAAATACCCGGATTCGGGACTTTTAGGTTGGACTACATAATTACAAAATGATGAAAAGTGGAAAACTGCAGCTTTTCAGTTAGATATGTCATGTAAAAAGTGGCTTTCGTATGCATATTAGAAAAGTAATTCGAATGGGATAGCAAATTATGTAATTCCGCCTACAAGTCATTCCTATTACATGTATGCACATATTATACAAGACTCGAAAGTTAGCATGCACCCGTAACTCTATTTTTGTAATTAGAAATCGTGCACCTCTTTTTGGTGTGAAAGAAAACATGGTTGCGATGATTCAGTCATTATTCAACATGCGACCAATTATTGCTATACTTGGATTGATTGTGAATGTAACTTTCCATCCGAATATTGCTCAGTTATTGGAGAAGTTGTGCATAATTGTGGTGGATGAGATCATAGCCTCGGCAGATCAGCCATGAGACTTCAGTTTACAGAATCCCAACCAGCTACATATTTTCACGCTTATTATTCTTTACTTATGAAAATAGCGTAAACATGGGTTGACGTGGGGCATTTATTGCACTTAATCCATGATCCGCTAATCTCTGAAAACCAATTTACCACTTCAAAAGTTGAGGTTTAACACTTGTATAACATATGAACATACATATGTGTACTTTGGTTTTCATGCTAATTTTTGAGTGGGGTGATCCTATTGCGTAAGGCGTGTCTCATGACGACACGGATTTTAGCCAATGAAGAAAATTAGAACTCCATTCTCAATAACCATTCAAATCATCCAGTTTGTTATGTCATATTGCTGACAGTTTTTGAAATTTGAAAGCCATGCCCATTTCATGTAAAAAATCTAAGAAAAAAATAATAAATTATGACAAGTATTGACAACTCTCCCATCGAGCAACAGCTTCTATGCCCGAAATCGTATTAGAAACTTCAATTTGGTTGGACGTTTTCAACCCCGTTTGGAGAAAGCTAGAAATCCGTCCTAAAAAAATCTGCGTATTAGCTCGGGCCATATGACGATTTGAAAGTCCAGTTCTCAAAAACTGACTTAAGGCCTTTATCCCATCATGGTTTCAGTCTTGCGTATGCAGTTTATTTACATGGCGTCGTCCAAAACACAACCCATTTACTTGGAGATGCAACAACCATGATGTAACGTCTCCTGATGAAGCAGCAATGTTAAACAGATGAACCTTGTATACAGAACTGGTTAAAATGGATGCCTAGTGTTACATAATGCCCAAGACCCACTAAAAACTGCTTGCTTATTAGCCATGTTTTTTGCCATCATGTGAAATAACCTAACCTAACCAAATATTTGCAGAGCAAAGCACACTATTCTTCTCCTTATCTGCACTTTGCACAGAGTGTGTGTTGGAGTGTATAGCTGATGAATCATCGCTAAGTATTTGTTATACGATGCACAATAATTTCAATTCCCCAGCCCCGTAAGGAAAATAATCATCGCGTCTTAAGGGCCCGGGGGAAGTTGCTTAGAAATCATGTCAACTTTGACCATAAAATTCAGCAATGCGCAAGAGGGCACATTTTTCAAATTATGTTTAATTTGTTAATCATATCTTTAGGTTTTACTAACTTTTTTTTTGACAATGTGCCCTCTTGCGCAGTGGAGATATTTGGTCATAAAGTGAGCACAAATTGGCTTAGAATTGCAAAATTGATGGCATGAATTGCATTTTGAGTATCCATGGAACAAAAGAAAACAACTTTTTCAAAAACTTGAGGGAAAAGTGATCAAACAAAAGCTTTTGGACGTGAGTGTACCATAGAAACGGTGTCAATTAATCTTTATAGAGTAATAAATAATCCTAGATTCCTAGCAATTATTGTTGCTAACATAAAATCAATTTTCGAAAAGTAAATCTTCCCCCGGGCCCTTAAGTCAAACAGAGCTACTTAAGCACATATGAAAAAGAGAACTGCTTACTCACACAAGGCACGAAATGACACAACTGAAACCCTCCACGAAGAGATGCACACAAAGAGATGTGTGCATGCATACGGATGGGGAATGTCATAATCTAAATGTGGGGTTGAATTAGCCAAAGCGACGATTAAGCCATGCACGAGAGAAAATGAGGACTGATGTTCAGATCGATCCCCTCATAAAAAAGTCCCTTCATCGTCGTCCGCACCATCCCTCGCTTTTTTAGGGACAGAAGATGATAGTGCAAAGTTGGTGCAATGCAATGATACATAATACTCTCCGTAATGTCCAACTTGGGGAGTTTCCAACTAGAAGTACAGAGTTTTAATAGAAATTTGTGCATTTCATGAAATCATGGAGGATCAAAGCATCTCGTTTATCTTCTCATTTGTAACATACGCTGTTCTGGGCAGTGGTGTCTAGATAAGACTTGGCCACCACAAAATATCTGCACCCCCACTCGTTTATCCTCTGTTAATGAAAGCCCTTTCGGTTTCGGTACAGTACGTACGGCCACAACATTTTGTGGTGCACATACAGAGTCAGAAGTCAAGGCAGCACGGTTTAACAAATACTGAGAAGAATGGTCGTCGTAAATGTAATAATACGAGGGAGAGAGATACGAGATGAGGCTGCACACACATTATTATCATGATGATGATGAGCCATGATGATGGTTTGGTATACAAAAGTTGTATATATGTAGTAAAATAAAAGCTTCTTCTTTTGATGCAACTGATCCATGCGAATCCAAGTTTTTAGTTGGTTTCTTTCCCCTCGAGCTGCAGTCCGGTTAACTACTCATCGACGCAGCAGTTATTAACGTTGAACTTCTCTTTTTTGACCACAATACATCAGTAAGTACACTTTTGCAAACATTGGGCCGTACGTTCATACGAAGTGAGGGCTGTGCTGTGTAATTCAGTTATCTCCTGTTTATTTATTCAATTTGCCCATTGTTGTAAAACTGCAAGAAAGTGATTATTATTTATATTGAGGTTGAGAAGATGAGATTATTATTCTACAGCCAGTAGCGTTTCCCACTTGGATTCAAAGACACCACTTTTCTTGGCACTGAGAGCGTCAGTTGGTGATTTTGTTGGCAATTTTACATAGTTTCCTCGCCTGGTGAACTATCTCTCCATCCACCGCCCGCAAGTGCATATCTGAGCAATAGCGATATCGATAATACCAAAATGTAACTTGTCACACGTTCATTCTCTCTGTTAATATGTCCACCTTGGACGCGGGTGACCAGTGAGTGTTCTGAGAGAGAGAACGCAAAATATTAATCAGGACTGAACTCTAGTGACGACAATAATGTGACTGTTGAACTCGTCAACTCTGAACCCTTTCACAAAAGGCCAAAGGGCATCGTGCCGCAGATCAGCGGCATACGTGGAGAAGTGCTTTGGGCTCAGCACCTGTGGCGTGGCATTGCTAATTTCGCGTAAGTCTCGTCTCCTGTACTCACTCGCCAACACTTTTGCCAGTGAGTTTTACTGATCATGCAGTGTTTATAAAAGTGGAAAAATCCACAAATTCATTTGCATACTCGTTCCTAATAATGTGTGTATTAAGCAAGTACCTGTGTCAGGTGTGGTTCCTTTACTCGATGCCATAATAAATATACGCTTTCTTTCTTAACGGGGAGTTAGCTAGATCTTCCATGCAATTATCGAAAATACCGAGGAGAGGATTCGTTCAATTTTAATCTTTTATTTTTACAACTAACAGCTTCGCTAGTTTAAGTGCTTCCTTTTTTACAGTTTAAGAGATGTCATCGGATATGCATATATTTACAACATATTGACGTTTGGAAATCAAGTGATTTTCACCAAAGTGCATGAATTTGAGAGCAAGCACGAAATGTTCTCATTGTAACACTGCACTGCGAGGGTGATAATAAGACGATAAAGTCAAAGATATAATTATTTTGTTCTGGTGGTGGCATTCATGGTATTTGTTGGTTAGTTAGCAGCACTTTGCCATTGTACCTCATCGTAGCATAGCATAAAAGATGGAGCTACAAAACTCGTCAACACTTGACTACTTATATGAATATCATCTTCTTATCACCTCCAACAAACCCATCCTCTAATTTCCAGTCACACTTATCATCATCCTATCCTTCCTCAAACATCCAAAGGTTTTATCAGGCTTGTGTTGACTGCATGAGCCCAGTAGTTAGTCAGTTGAGTGGTCCTGGCTGGTCGTCTCGTTGTCAGTTACTTATTAACTGTTGACGACAGTGAGGACAAATTCCTGCTGTCCGATGTGTCCTTAATATTGCTGCACCTTGTTATATTTCCTCTGGCTAGAGATTTTCTGGGTGGATCGACAAGAGGTTTTTTTCATATTTTCCAACATATTTTATTGCGTAGTATTTTATTGCATACATCATGTTATGGTCGAAATTGTAGTATTTGAGTTGCTTGAAATCCTGTCCACACCAACGGGATCAGATTTAGTGGATCCGTCGTCATCATCAAAGTACATATAAAAACAAAGTCAACTGTGGGAAGGAATAACGCAGTTGCTAGTTGATAGGGAATTGTATTTGCATAAGAGATCAAGCAAGCGTGATCTCACCACAAGTCAAACACACTGTTTGCTCATTAGTAACGGAGAATATGCATCGAGCTAGTTCTATTTCTGAGGTTTGCAATCGCTCGAGAAATTATTTTGTGCGTGCATCAATTGGCATGAGCTTGGGATGCTAGAGCGAGGTCCGGGTCCTTGTTCTTCGATACAGAACTGTATGATTGTAAATACGTGTATGCATTTCCTGGAAGTCTCATATGTGTACTTACATAAATACACAAATTGCGTTTGCATTTGGCTAATTATGCAACCAAACCCATTTCATGTCTCAATTGGTTAATGAGAATGAATCATAATTTGATTTGATACTTCAATTAGTTAGCTAGCTCAACAGTACAGACAGACGGTGCTTAGCTTACGGAAAATATGAAACAACAAAGCAGGATTGCGATTTGCAAAATCGGAGCATATATACTCGTTCCTTATTGGTGTTCTGGCCAACTCAGAAGTCGAGTTGTTCTCCTTTGCAAAAATAAGGGAAAGTATTGGCTAAAAGTTTTATCATAAGCAGGCTTGAACGAAATGTCGGCTTCTGCTCCAGCCGGCCTAATTTTGCAAACTTTTCTTCTGTTAGTACATAAATGTTTGAAGAAGTCAAGCTGGCCTCTGGGTTATAATTCTATCCAATAAATCCAAAAATAGCTACATATGTAACTGTGAAATTATTATCTATCCTACCAGTCAGCCGAATGAGATTATCAGAGCTTTATTGCAGTTAGGGAAAGGTTGCTACATAGTAAAATACAAAAATTGGACCAAAGTGTCCCCAAGCAGTTATCGTTTGAGGTACGCAACCTCGTTTGGCCTTCCACTTTGGACGTAGTGTTCATTAACTGGTATTAAGTTATAAAGCTCAATACGTTAAAAAGGCTGCACTTGAAACTATATTTTTGCATTGATTTGACATTTTTTTAAAACAACGATTGTACTCACCAAGTTGCCTGTTTTACCTGATTTCAGGCAAAGGGTCCATTCCACATGGAGTGCGAAGTGAGCTCCACACAACCTGCGGCCTACAATGGGGCGGGAAGTCGTAGTAGTCCCCCCTCGGCCTCCGTCGTCACTTCGTCCTCCCCCGTGCCCAAGACCGGCGGGGGGAGTGGCAAGTCCCAACTCCACGTCGACTTCATTGAGCACGGCGAAGTGAAGGAGAAGCGAGAAAAGTACTTGACGGGTAAGGTCGAATTTCTACTTTTCTCTCTTTTCTTGTTAAGCATTGAGGTTATTTATCTATTTTGACAGCCAAATACGGGAGTCATCAAATGAGTCTCATCCGGAAACGTCTTGCAGTGGAAATGTGGCTTTACGATGAGCTCCAGAAACTTTACGAAGACGAGGTAAGACATTTTTACGAGAATTTCACCTGCATGTTTTTTTCTCGCGGAATACAAAATTACATGTATTTATCGGGACTCTTGTTATGGAGTAACTCCCGAGTAAAGTGTGCTTGCATAGGAAACCACCCATGGCGTTTTGAGTGGTCATAGTTCAAAATTTTTCATGATATTCATGTTTTATAATTGTTTTTACGAGTATGACGCCCTCTAATTACACCACTTACTCTGAGAAAATTCTTTCTTTCACTTCCATACGTACATATGCAACAATCAGCAACCGTCTACTAAACCAACTCCTGTCAAATTCCAACTTCTGTCCGCATTTAGTCAAGTTACCGACCGAAGAAAGGCAAACCCATGAACAAATGCAACCTCCATAAGAGGTTCCATAAGATTCGTCTTCGTCCTACAAAGTACAGGCCAAACTGCAGATGTTAGTGAAATTGGTAGGGCTATAATTTTGCAATGAGCGTAGTCTTCTTTCATGTGCAGTTTCGTGAGCAACTCGCTGGCAAAAGCGGTCACGAAAGGAAACCCAACGGGGTTTGAAGTTTTTTGGAGGTGGATGAGGTGTGCATAACCACAGCTAAAACGCTGCATGTGTCCGAATGCTGAGGAACTGAATACCAAATGCTCATCGTATTTATTTGCCAAACAAACCAGCCCATGCAGGCTCGGGCTATTTTTCGCATTTTTCACAATTCAAGAATTTCAAGCATATCATAACCTCATAGACCAGAACGTCAAGTTTTTATGCGTATATTTCAAACAAATGATAAATTTGGGCACTCAATCCACTTCGAACTGAAGCTTTCAAATGGCTGCTCTTACTTGCATTTCAGTAGAGGATGAGTAATTAAAACCAAGTTCCGATGTGTAGTGTAACATGGAAGGTACAAGAGATGAATAAATTATCAATTAATTACTACATTCTTCAACTGAGGTGCTAAGCAAGGAAAATGTTCCTCGAAATGTGAATCTGGTTCCCTTATCGAAGCTTCAAGCTTTGTTACCCCCATAACCATATATAATTATTTCCATTGAGCTGCATCAAATCATAATATGTATACGAGTTGTACATAAAGAAACCAATCCGTAGGCAGAATATTTCGCAGAAATGTGATAAGTGAATTTATCATGCAATGCGAGAAAATGTACGAAAGTGTTCGAATCGGATATATTTAGGAGGCTACATATGTACCAAGACAGTTGTGTTTTTAGATGCGCTGCAGAAAAATAATTAACGGGTTACGCAAGAAATGTGGGTTGGGTCTTCGGAGGGTGGTGTTGTTCCTTTAGCTTCAAAGCGTTTGGTGGCCTGCGAGTGATTTTCCTCCTATAAAAATATATGTAGCGTGGCGTTGGTTGGTGGTGTGAAGATGGGGTTTACAATTCTTTTGATTATGATGATTGAGAAATTGTACTTTTACTCCAAATTCTACGAGAGAACTTGAGAGAAGATTACACGGGCGATAAGAGGAGACGAGAGAAAAAAATCATTCAAACAACAGAATAATTTTTTACACACAATTTTATCTCAAAGGAACCATCTCTATTTCTTTCTAGTAAAATGCTGTATTTATTACTTTGTTATACAAAAATCCCCCTCGTAAAATATTTTGTTCTAGCGTGCTTCGAATCCGTCAGCTTGGTTTTAGCTTAGCTCCAACGACAAGAACGGCCGGCACGGATTTACAAATAATTAATCGGTCACTTCTTGCCACGCCTCTTTTTGAAAGCGATTTATTGGAGTTGAAATCAAATTGCTTGGAAAGTATTCCATTTGTATTTCACACCAATCGAGATTTCATTTAATCACATACTACATAATTTTTCTCTCGCTGTAATAATTGCCTCCTTACGTTGCTCGTTAGTCAAGCTGTATTAAGATTTACTGGAAATTACCCCAAATTAGTACGGAATATCAAAAATATAGCATTTCATGCATGTTTTTATTGCTGTAACCTCTACACCTCCTTTCTCGATTGTAGTAAATGTCAGGCTATTAAATGTCAGACTGGAGGACAAGTGTCTAACAAAACTTTTTTTCTTGTATGCGCAGGAAGGGACATCTTCCACTCATGACGTTGAGATCGACTTGGACGAAGTGCTTGACATGGACGGGGACGAGGAACGTCGGAAATTTCTGCTCCCACTTCTTGTGGACGCCAAGAAGTCTCAAGACATAGTAAATGTAAGCGTGTGTATAAGCTGCACTATTTACGATTCCTTCAACCGATTTGTTGATTTTCTATTTGAAAATTTTGAAACTCATCATGCTATATAATAATTTCCTAATAATTTGCAGAAATTTGTGGACGAGGTGATATCCAAAGCGAAAACTCTGTGAGAACAATGCTACAATACACATCATGCCCCGTGTAATTCACTACGCCTTGAAGCCTCCTCCTGTCCGAGTACTACTCGTGGTCCCGAAACCAACAAAATGACACAGTTTTAATTAAAAAGAGTAAAAACCATTAGTAATACCAACCATACACATCTAGAGACCAGTTACGTAGACTTTTTTTAGAACGGCAATTAGGAAAAGCATAAATTTATCTGTAGTAATTAAACATAACTTTATATTGTGAGGTGGTGATGATGGTGACATAAGATCTCGACATTTTAAAGTTGAATGATTTACAGTTGTATTATGACTTGTTTTTTTTCGTGACAGATTACACTACCTCGTTTTTACTCCTCCTCCACCTCCTCCTACAACAACTGAAATCAATCAACCCTAATATTTGTTGATGGGTATTAACACAAATTAGTTTCAATTATGTTTTGTACCACCGTTTAACTTATAAGAGAAAGCATAAGAGCAACCAGGAATTTGCATGAGAGCTACATAATTAAATAGTCTTCCTCAAAACTTGGGTAAATAAATAAGATAGCAATTGCATTTCTTGCAGATTCTGATTTCCGCAGCTTCCTTCAAGATGCAAACATTTTTCATAACAATAATTATGTCTTTTGTAGATGACTATAGAGTGACGCGAGTCGTCATCTAACAAAAGGTCTCAATGATGTACAATACATATTAAGTTTTTTTTGATAAGTTGAGAGTGCGAGCCTATGATTATTCATATTCTGATCAACATTGTGCTTGCAATGAAGATATTTATGTACGAGGTGCCTATACAAATTATTAGTTTTGTGTGGTTAACGGCGTCTACATAAAAATAGCTCGGAAAAGACAGAAACATAAAGCTTTTGTAATTATTTTTATGCTAGGCCAAGACAAATTTTGACATTGCTGCGGATTTTGATACGTGAGATAAATGTGGTAGGCTCTATATACTTGTGTGCGTGTACAATAAAATTATTTACAATTAAATGTAGACATTTTTAGTGTGATAATAAACAAAACGATGATAAAATCGATTATTCTTAGAGTATGTTCTATTAACATTAATCATTATTATTTCATTTTCATTATAACAATAATATGGTAAATACTTAACCGGTTGTGGTGTGTTAGAAGGCATTTGCTTCTAACTAAAACAACAGCTTGCCATAAAATCACGTACATACCTATTCATACTGGAAAATGACTGTCATATCGAAATTTCCGTTTTTTTTCGTGTTACTTTCAAAATAAATACTAGAAGATGTGTCTGGAAAAAATACTGTGCTTTTGTGCTGCAATGAATTTAGTCGTTATTGCATTTTCGACAGTTCAAATTTGGTAGACAAGAGTTCCTGTAAACAATGAAGAGTTTAATTTTTTTTAATGTTCATGAAAAATACAGTAAACTAGGAAAATACCTCCTCTGAATCCAGGGCAGGTAAATCCCCCTCCGCCATGTCAGCAGGTATGTTCTCTTCTACCCATCTCAATTCATCTTCCTGAAAAGAGGGTACAACAGAGAAAGGTAAATGATTATGCTGATGATATGACGTTAATTAAATTGTAAATTGACGTAAATTGTTCTCTTACCACACTTTGACTACGCCCGTAGAGTTTTCCATTTGTTGCACCATTTTTCTTAGGACGAAGTTTCATATTTCCAGCTACAACAAAATTGTGTTAAACGTGCTAAGCTGGAGTTAGAGCAATTCGTCAACTTACAAAATGCAGAATTGACTACAAGATCCTCCTCGTCATCATCGTCCAAGTTATCCAAAAGAGGAGAAAATGCAAACCTAGACACATAATACAATAAAGCAGTCAGTACATATAACGAAACTTTGATTACAAAATTAAAATTATATACATATGCAGACCTCTGATTGTTGTTACTTGGCCGCCAAAGTACCATAATGACTAGCAAAATAAGACTGAACAACATGTGCCAATAGGCCTCGTCAATCCAAATTTCCTTCCAGTCCTAATTATACATAGACTTGTTAGTTAGTTAGAATACGAAAACCAAGATTGTCATTACACATTACCCGAAGACACGTGGTCGTCTTCAGGTATCGAATTGACCACACCATAAAAATGATGGAAGAAATAACAGCGAAAAATAGAGTATTAGTAAAATGCCGGTATAAATTCAGTTTGATAAGATTTCTGAAATTTTAAAATAAAATTTATGGTCACACTTCGAGACTACGTCATATGCATTTTGTTTATTCTTACCGTCGCAATCTCAGTGTTCTCGTCGTTGCCATCAATGACTGAAAGATCCAGTAGAATATAGCCGCGTCTAAAATTGACAGCGGGACTCCTGCCATCAGAGCTTTATTTGAAGGCCCATTCACTGGGTGTAGTACTCTCAAGCAAGATTCGAAAGAAGCGAATGCGAAATAGAGAGAGCCGACAATAAGGATTCGGTGTAACGTGGCTCCAAGTCGGGGTCTATAAATGGATGATTAGAATTTTATAGAATTCAACTGTTATAATGTGCAGTTAAAATCCATACTTTACAATCCCGAAACCGATACTGACAATTACGACGAGCATTCTAGCTGTAAATATATTTGAAACAAATTTGTTATGTCTTGACAATACTAATGGAACATGAGGAGACAGGGACCGACTTGAGACTAAGATACACAAAATGTATTCTTGGTCCAGCAAACTCCATCAACAAACAACTAAGAAATTCGCACTTGGCTAGCCCATACAAAACCTTACCCAGCGTCCTCTTTGCGCAAGAGATGATTTCGGCCACCAGTACAGCTCCTGTCACGGACACGCCCGTCGAATTAATGTTGTAGTATTCAGCATAAAATACAGCCTGCAACATAAAGTGATCACAACATTATTTAAATATAACATGTGGCTATTATTTAATAATCAGTGTTTATAATCACTTGCCATTTCAACCATTCCGAGGAAAATTACGGCTCCAATCCAAAATTGAATTCGAATAAGATCCCTCCATTGCCAGAAAGATAATCCCAGCCACACGACTCCATACAGTGTGTACAGCAGGCAAGAGCTACCATAAAACTACAACATTCACTTAAATAAGTTAGGAGGCTAATTAAACACACTAAAACAATTATGCTATTTATAATGCATTATACAACAACTTACAATGAGAAGAGGATATTCAGTTGCAGACAAATAGCCATGTGGTCCTTTAATTTGCACTTCAACTTCGGCGTGAAACTCGCTCGATCCTTCTGGCTCGAATTTTACGATAAATAAATAGACTCCATCCTTGGGGATTGTAAACACAGGTCTCGATGATTGCTAAAGAATATTATTAATATTATTCAAGTTTCAATTAAAATAAAGCGTATTTTATTTTTACTTAGGAAGAAAAGCAAGCTAACCACAATTGCGGAGGAAGATACGTCATTTTGGCACATTTGAAACTCGAATGTACTTTGTCCTTGTACTCCATTTTTAGCTGTGCCAGATGACTTGCCACCACTGGTAGATGTTGCTAATGTACAATTTTCAGCATATTCAGTCTGTCAGAAAAATAAACATTTTATTTTCTATACATTTAAAAGAATGAAGAAGATTGCTATTTACCAGATGAATTGTATTATCACATCTGTGACGATATTCGTCAGGTGGCTTAAAGAATAAATGATCTTGAAATTCTGCTACATTAGTATTTTGTACGGAATCTGCATAGTATATATTCCATATTTGCTGTCTTTCTTCTTTACTCTATATAAAAATATATCGTTACCCTACAATAAAATACGGATACATCATACATACATACATCTAGATAGCAGATAGACTTACAAGGAGTTCTAATCTCCAATATTCGTCCCAGCACGGCGTCTCTCGCAGTTCCCAGTTGATTCGGACAGTTAACATGTCCGATAAGTCGACGCATTTTACTAAAATTCAGTAAACCATAATGACACTTACAAGGCTACCAGAAAGTGAAATATTTATTATGCAACTCACTTCTCATGAAAATCTGCGACTCTTTGAAAACACTCTTGGAGACCCCATAGTACTTGTGAGTCTACAACATTAGAATATCAGCCTCAGCATTAATATAATAATTTCAGAACATAAATAATTAACCAATTTCTAACCTATATGTTAAACATACATAAAACTAGTACCCAACCTGATTAATGACTGCATTCCATTTTCCTTGTTCTGGAAAGGAAAAGACGCTCGTAAAGAATATCACGAGGGAGATGAAGAGTTTGACGATGACGCTCGTAAAGGACATTGTTAGTTAATAATTTAAGAAGAGATCCAGGTCGTACTCCTCAACAATAAAATACAAAAACACTACCGACCAGTGAATAGGGATAATCACAGTATAATTTAATGACAAATGACAGGAATATAATACACAATCTATCGTATCCAGTGAAAGTGTGCCTGTCAAACAAATTGGCTAAGCAATTTCATTCGATCGAATTATACAAATGAAAGAAAGAATGGTTCGATTGTTCAATATGTTACACCAGGAAAATTAAGCCTATAACGTGGAAACTTGCAAGCTTGCTTGTCGTTATTACGAGCCTAATGAGATGTAACTTCATTGCACTTCCGGCTGCTTAATGTTAACTTTAAATGACATCATCTTTAAGTAAACACAGATTCACTATTCACTTTCGGGCCGAAATATTATGGGCAGCCAGCAGGCAGAGCAGCAATCCAGTCCAGGGCTATGTTACAGCTTTATGTGCCAGCATTTGGCAATTTGCACTGTTCCATGAAAAAACAACAACGGCGAAAATGAAATAAGATAGTTCTGTATGACCGTGGCGTGTTATTACCTTACAACCGTCATCGTGTTGGTGACATTCTAAAACGATGGTGACAAAAATTGACCTGAAATTTCGTACAAGTAGCAACTTCTTACGAGAAAGCTGTGAGGCAAGTTCAGAGCATAAAGCACTAAATCACCGCCCCTTCTACCCAGCTGAGCCAGTCTCATTCTCACGCATTGCGCCTCAGCAGGAAGTAATTTGTCCTTTAATTAATTGCAATCCATAATTAATTAAACCACCTCCAAAGACGCAATATTATTAATAGCTTATTAGGCAACCGTAACAGTTTATCTTCAAAGAGCAACTACTGGATCAATTTTATCGTCTGGTTTATTAATATACCATCAACTCAACATTAGAAGAGCGTGTGTAAGTATTTTGTGTTTTTGATTTTAATCAAAAACTATATTAATTTTGATTTAAAAATCAAAATTTATAATTTATAATTTATGTTGGCCATGTGATTAGATACTTATTTATTTCATATTTGATTCTTACTATTTGCCCGCAGATATATTTTTCCTCGTGCGTTCGTTTATAAAATATACCCACCTGCGTGACCTTTTGGAGGTGGAACAAATTTAATAATCATGGGGAACGCCAACAGTGGGAATATCCGTGATCGTCACAAGTCTGGAGACAGCCTCCCACCCTCGTCCCCCTGTGGCATGGTCAAGGATGGCCAAGCCTTTTCCTTCGACAAGCGTCCATCGGTAGGAACCCCAAATGTGAACAATGTTTCAACAATGAGCAGTCCATCGTCATCTCCTGCTACGCACTTGCACAGTGCTCACATTCAACCTCCGCACCACAAAATCATTCTACAACACTCTCAATCTAATGAGGATGACGAACCTTCTTATTTCACACGTCAACCAATTTCCAAGTCACTGTCCAAAGATGTTTCCTCTGTAATTCTTACTTTTCTTTAGGTTGCTTTTTGTATAACAGCATGGTTGCACTAATGGATGCCTAACTTTGATGTTTTGTGTGAAAATCTGTTGCTCTATTTAAGTTTTTGTGTTATTCTTGTGTCAATATGGTTCAGGTTTAAATTTTCAAAATTATTATTAGAGGCTTGGGTTTAAGTGGGTTTATTTATGTATTCATTTATTTGCTTTCGGTTTTATTTAAGTTTCTTCAATTTTTTCTTCCGTTTATTTTACTTGGAAGTGTCACTGTGTCAGGCATTTTACAATTCGTTGTCTTTAACTAAAATCTGACAGACGTATAACTATACTAAAGACAAGAATTAGATGATATGCAATATGTAAGCAATGAAATGATCCTTTAAAGTATGATCATTATTATAATTGTATATACCTCAAAATTTTAATTTAGTCACTCATGAGCAGTATACACGCATGTATAAAACAACCTCGAAGATGAACTACTACGAAATTACAGGATTAGTCAAAACAATTATGAGCTATTAAAACAGTGGCAATTACTGCAATTTATAAATATGCTGCTCACAGCCAACAACATTATATAACTTTTGCACTGTATTCTATGATTGATTATAACAACAATAATTAAATTCACACGCTCGGCTGTTCTGTGTGCAGGTAGTGCTTTCTTTCGACATGGGCGGTACTATATTTGTGTTGTAGTGTCAACTCTGGATAATGTTTTATTCTGCCATTTTGAAAAGTTTTGTTGATTGTTTCTTATATGTTTGGAAACAGGAAGATTATCCAGAAACGGGGAGACCACGATCAGTCACGGTCTCAGAAGGGACAAACTTTGGTGGATCGATTGATGCAGAAACTAAAATTTTACCAACAGTGTTTAAATGGGATGGGGGTGGCAAAACTGCATTTATTTGTGGCACGTTCTCTGATTGGAAGACAATACCGATGGTGAAGAGGTTCTAAAATAAAAATAGTTTACCCGAAATATATGCATAGCATATTAAACATATTATTTCAACACAATTTCTAATGTGACGGTGTGTGCGTCATTGCAGTAATTTTACGGCAAAGGATGGGGAAGACTATGTCGCCATTGTGGACTTGCCAGAAGGAGAACACCAGTACAAGTTTTTAATAGATGACGAGTGGAAATTTAACCCATCTGAGGTAATAATCAACTTATTTGTTATTGTTGTCTTTCATTACTTTTTGTGTCTCATATATTTCATGGGGCATGCCATAATTTTCCTTCCAGCCAACTATCCAAACCGAGGATGGCACAGTTAACAACATAATTACCGTTAGGAAAACAGACTTTGAAGTTTTTGATGCACTGGGTTAGTATAAACCTTCTAAAACTGCAAGCTTTGCCCATCGACTAAACTATATTTCGTAATCTATTATCTAACCATGTATATATATTGATTAGCAATGGATCAGTGCAATTCTAAGTCATCTAAGGCCACACAATTAAGTACGCAATCTACATTTCGTATCATAAATAGTAAAGTGTGGTGTTATAAGGTTGGTATTATCAATGCGCAATTTTTTTCCACTAGTATCTGGCTCTCCACCTGGAAGGTATGTAATGCATTGTAATGGTGAATCTAAGTAGTAAGTTAAATTTTGGGGAAATAATACTGAAGCTTCATCATTAAAATATTTGGATGAATTCAACAATGATAATGAAAAAAGATCTTGGCTCTACAGATGTATGTATTAAGGTAATAAGTCAATTTATTCGTCAATTCATATTCAATCCAATTATTACAAAACAGTTTCAGAAATATCAAACTAATTGAACAATGGGGGCCGGAGATAATCTCTCACAGGCTGCCAATCAACAATACTAAAATCAATGCTGTCTGGAATATCAATCTGAATTATCCGACTAAAAAACCCAACCAATTTAATCAACATATCAATATATCGTCCCTTCCATCCTGACTTGTTCTCAATCTTCTGAAAATCACATCGAATGGGAGCCCCGTCGATTTCTCCACCAAGCATCTCACAGAAACAAACTGCTACTTGACCAACGCCTTCCATCATCTCCGTCTCGTTTTTCTTATCCAAACTGTCATCTTGGCACTGAAAAATAGCAGGTCCATCCCTATCGGTTTTGTGGTATTCAGCAATGGTTTTGGCGGTGGAATTTGATTTCTGAGTTCTGATACCTGAACAAATATTACGTTATGAAGTTGAATCAGATCGGAATACCATCATTATAATTCTTATAGTATATTACCAATATGAATCCTCCCAATTGTACCCATCTTCATATAAATCCAAGACTTTCCCGTTGCTCGATCCAAAACAATCCCATCCATGAGTGGTGATCCAGTACCGACCCCAAGCTCAGACTCCCCACTAAACTTTACCCCACCACCGAAATGCTCGAGTAGTTGTTTGACCAACGACCAGTTTGCATTCCGGATAAAAACTTGGTCAGCGATCAACACGTAATGCTTGTCAGGGTCGGGTTGTCGTGAGTTGACAAGTGAGAACAGGATTGAGATAGCAATCCGGACAGTATCTTGGTGACTAGACCCATGGTGAAGGGAGACTCTGTCCAGCATCGTTGGTTCTGACTTGTTGGTTTTCATAATTCTTAAATGCATAAAACTGGTGAGGGATCTTCGTGGACCATAGCTGTTCATTTCATCTCACCACAAACCACAAACTTTCCACAAACTACAATCCACAATTCCACAAACCACAAAGAAATCTAGTCCACTTTCCACACCACAGTCCACTTTGTGGATCCACACTTTGGTTTAAACAGCTACACAGGCTAATTACATACATAATTAAACACGTGTTTCAGAATTTTTCGTAATGCTCAGTTGCAACGAAGTTATAATGGTATATGTACGTGAGCGACAATTTGCATTTTTACAGCGAAATTTGAAGATCAAAATTCCCGCTTACGGATTATAACATGGTTTTCAGTGTGCATTTTGAAAAACCATGAAACCTGTGTTTAAATATTTATCTAAGGCTATATCATTCACAAGAATGCCACAAAACTTAACCATAACTATAAACTACAGACCGGTCCACATTGTGGACCAGTCTGTGGTTTTGTGGATTGTAGTTATGGACTCCACAACTACAAACCACAAACCTTTCCACAAACTACAATCCACTAATCCACAAACCACAAACCCTTCCACAAACTACAATCCACAATTCCACAAACTACAAACCCTTCCACAAACTACAATCCACAATTCCACAAACCACAAAAAAGTCGTGTCCACTTTCCACACCACAGTCCACTTTGTGGATCCACACTGTGGTTTGAACAGCTATGTCGTGGACTTCAGGATGTCTTGTAAAGTGACGATCGTCTTAGGAGAGTGGGTATTACGAGTATTCAGAAGTGCAAAACTTGGTGTGGCGTTGCTCGTATCCCGTATGAGAAAATGTGTCTTATTCCAGTTTCCATGTTCATCACAAAAATTCCCAGCACTTCCAAGTTTCCAGCAATAATCGTCCTTGCAGATCGGTTCTGTACGGCCATAACTGATCCTTCCTTCTTTGAAAGTGACTTGCATCTCCGTTTGTGAATCTTTTTTTGCCAGGTAGATTAACCACCAAGGTTTTCCCAGATTTTAACAACCTATTCAAACGTTTGACATTTTATCTTACTCAAATAATTTAATGTATTAAATGGATTGGTATTATGTATAACTTACTTTTTCATTTCTGGCGAGCTTTTCATATCTTTGTCCTCTCCGATCCATTTCAGATAGGTTTTCACGGCGTTGAAAACCATTCCCGCTCTAGTATTTTGTGCTGGTGGCGTCCACTTTTCATCATCATCAACTTCTACGTGGGGTTCCCAATTAAATCTAGATGATGCTACTTCTGTCTTAATAGGGGAACATTCTAAAGATAAACAATTAATTAATTATAAAACAATTTCATTCTACTATTAGCTGCAATAATTAGTTGGTTGAAATAAACTTACGCTCTAGTGGTTCGAATGTACCGTCATCTCTTTTAACGTACAATTGATCAACTGATGATGATGATGTTTTGGTTTCTTCCGAAACCAAAACTGTCTGATTAATGTTCAGCTTCGTCTTCTTCGCTGGAGGAGTTGTGGTAGCAGACGATGTAGATGGGTTATTGCTGCTCGACGACATGATAACCGTAACAGTAGGTGAGAATATTTGGGATGTGTCGAAACAAATAAATTCGAAAAGATGTAATTTCGGGAGTGAAAATCAGACCTTGTTGACTGAGCGAGTGCTGCGCTACGATAGGTTCATACGAATAAAGCACACAAGCAACACGACTCCTTATCGTTTCCTATTTTTGGATACAAAGCCACGCCAAACCGCAACCATCATGGCTTGGCTTCCATTAACATGATACAAACTAAAGATTTTTGGAATTATTGCATATGTAACTTATTTTTAAACATCAAAATGATTTTCAAAAATAGTTAGAACTGAAACTTAAGTTCACCATTACATGCTTTACCTTTTCTTTTAAAGGAAGAACTATTCCGTTTATTTCAATTTAAATATTTATTTTATTAAATCTTTTCAAGCGAATGGGGTCAGGACATCCCTAGTTACAAACCATGGGAAAAAACAACTGGACCTCCCATATTACCACCTCACTTGCTCCAAGTCATTTTGAATAAGGATACGCCGCTCTCGGTACTTAGCATCTACCCATCATTTAATCTTTACTTCGTACACGATATAGTGATTTAGTAATATACATTGCATTGTGTTTTTTTAACAGTGCGAGCCAACACTATTACCGGAACCAAATCACGTCATGTTAAATCATTTGTACGCTTTGTCCATTAAAGATGGAGTTATGGTTTTGAGTGCAACGCATCGTTACAGAAAGAAATACGTGACTACCTTGTTATACAAACCCATATAATAATATCGAACAAACTTTGTCAATTTTTGTCAATAATGGTGCTACTAAATGTGTACTCGCCGTGTTTTGAATTATTAATTCAGTAATATACTAACATTAACGTGGCTTGACAAAATGTGTTGACAAATACGTAGTTGTTCTGAGGACAATTTATCAACCGCAATTTGATGAACAAATACTTAGTAGATGCATTTCTATATATTTCTGAAAATGGTATATAAAATAAAAATATATTATTACAAATTGGGTTGTTTCCTTGTTTAGAATGAATTACAAACCCATATATCTATGTAATTAATTACTCTATGTTATGTGAGGCATAATAAAAAATGATGTCAATAAAATAAAAAAGATGTTAATAAAATTCCACTGCTTTTTCATTCGGATTCTGTATTTTTCATGAAAACACGCTTCTTCATCTCGCACTGTCTCGCACAGTAAATCATCCACAAATCCACACTCCACCGTTGAACTTCTGTTTACAATACTTCGATTTTTAACTATGAGTAATGTGTCGACAAGAATAATTAATTTAATCCCCGTGAGTACTATTTAGGTTCTAAATATTAGCAATTTTTGGCAATTGAAATCAGCAACCTTAGACAGTAGACATGTTTTAAAAGGCTCGCTTTATTTACCTAAGATGTGGTAAGTCGATGTTTAATAAAACAAACGTTACAACTTCCATTTGCGAAATTCGGTTGCGATATGTCGGATGTCGATAACACCAAAAAAAAGTGCGAATCCACGAAATGACGAAATTATGACATGGCGACGAAATTTGTCGAACACAACGTGGTGGTGGTGGGTGGGGCATTGCGACATGTCGATAACACCAAAAAGAAGTGTCTGTCGAAATTTGATGGAAATAGGACGAGAAATGGGGAAGTTATGGCATGGCGACCAAATTTGACGAAAACAACGTGGTGGCGACGGGTGGGACCTTGCGACATTTCGATAACACCAAAAAGAAGTCTCTGTCGAAATTGGGTGGAAATCGGACGAGAAATGGCGAAATTATGATATTGAGACGAAATTTGGCGAAAACAAGGTGGTGGCGGCGGGTGTGACCTTGCGACATGTCGATAACACCAAAAAGAAGTCTCTGTCGAAGTTTGATGGAAATCGGACGAGAAATGGCGAAGTTATGACATGGCGACGAAATTTGGCGAAAACAAGGTGGTGGCGGCGGGTGTGACCTTGCGACATGTCGATAACACCAAAAAGAAGCCTCTGTCGAAATTTGATGGAAATCGGACGAGAAATGGCGAAGTTATGACATGGCGACGAAATTTGGCGAAAACAACGTGGCGGCGACGGGTGGGACCTTGCGACATGTCGATAACAGCAAAAAGAAGTCTCTGTCGAAGTTTGATGGAAATCGGACGAGAAATGGCGAAGTTATGACATGGCGACGAAATTTGGCGAAAACAAGGTGGTGGCGGCGGGTGTGACCTTGCGACATGTCGATAACACCAAAAAGAAGTCTCTGTCGAAATTTGATGCGAATCGGACGAGAAATGACGAAGTTATGACATGGCGACGAAATTTGGCGAAAACAACGTGGTCGCGGCGGGTGTGACCTTGCGACATGTCGATAACACCAAAAAGAAGCCTCTGTCGAAATTTGATGCAAATCGGACGAGAAATGGCGAAGTTATGACATGGCGACGAAATTTGGCGAAAACAAGGTGGTGGCGGCGGGTGTGACCTTGCGACATGTCGATAACACCAAAAAGAAGTCTCTGTCGAAGTTTGATGGAAATCGGACGAGAAATGGCGAAGTTATGACATGGCGACGAAATTTGGCGAAAACAACGTGGCGGCGACGGGTGGGACCTTGCGACATGTCGATAACAGCAAAAAGAAGTCTCTGTCGAAGTTTGATGGAAATCGGACGAGAAATGGCGAAGTTATGACATGGCGACGAAATTTGGCGAAAACAACGTGGCGGCGACGGGTGGGACCTTGCGACATGTCGATAACAGCAAAAAGAAGTCTCTGTCGAAGTTTGATGGAAATCGGACGAGAAATGGCGAAGTTATGACATGGCGACGAAATTTGGCGAAAACAAGGTGGTGGCGGCGGGTGTGACCTTGCGACATGTCGATAACACCAAAAAGAAGCCTCTGGCGAAATTTGATGCAAATCGGACGAGAGATGGCGAAGTTATGACATGGCGACGAAATTTGGCGAAAACAACGTGGCGGCGACGGGTGGGACCTTGCGACATGTCGATAACAGCAAAAAGAAGTCTCTGTCGAAGTTTGATGGAAATCGGACGAGAAATGGCGAAGTTATGACATGGCGACGAAATTTGGCGAAAACAAGGTGGTGGCGGCGGGTGTGACCTTGCGACATGTCGATAACACCAAAAAGAAGTCTCTGTCGAAGTTTGATGGAAATCGGACGAGAAATGGCGAAGTTATGACATGGCGACGAAATTTGGCGAAAACAAGGTGGTGGCGGCGGGTGTGACCTTGCGACATGTCGATAACACCAAAAAGAAGCCTCTGTCGAAATTTGATGGAAATCGGACGAGAAATGGCGAAGTTATGACATGGCGACGAAATTTGGCGAAAACAACGTGGCGGCGACGGGTGGGACCTTGCGACATGTCGATAACAGCAAAAAGAAGTCTCTGTCGAAGTTTGATGGAAATCGGACGAGAAATGGCGAAGTTATGACATGGCGACGAAATTTGGCGAAAACAAGGTGGTGGCGGCGGGTGTGACCTTGCGACATGTCGATAACACCAAAAAGAAGTCTCTGTCGAAATTTGATGCGAATCGGACGAGAAATGACGAAGTTATGACATGGCGACGAAATTTGGCGAAAACAACGTGGTCGCGGCGGGTGTGACCTTGCGACATGTCGATAACACCAAAAAGAAGCCTCTGTCGAAATTTGATGGAAATCGGACGAGAAATGGCGAAGTTATGACATGGCGACGAAATTTGGCGAAAACAAGGTGGTGGCGGCGGGTGTGACCTTGCGACATGTCGATAACACCAAAAAGAAGTCTCTGTCGAAATTTGATGCGAATCGGACGAGAAATGACGAAGTTATGACATGGCGACGAAATTTGGCGAAAACAACGTGGTCGCGGCGGGTGTGACCTTGCGACATGTCGATAACACCAAAAAGAAGCCTCTGTCGAAATTTGATGCAAATCGGACGAGAAATGGCGAAGTTATGACATGGCGACGAAATTTGGCGAAAACAAGGTGGTGGCGGCGGGTGTGACCTTGCGACATGTCGATAACACCAAAAAGAAGTCTCTGTCGAAGTTTGATGGAAATCGGACGAGAAATGGCGAAGTTATGACATGGCGACGAAATTTGGCGAAAACAACGTGGCGGCGACGGGTGGGACCTTGCGACATGTCGATAACAGCAAAAAGAAGTCTCTGTCGAAGTTTGATGGAAATCGGACGAGAAATGGCGAAGTTATGACATGGCGACGAAATTTGGCGAAAACAAGGTGGTGGCGGCGGGTGTGACCTTGCGACATGTCGATAACACCAAAAAGAAGTCTCTGTCGAAATTTGATGCGAATCGGACGAGAAATGACGAAGTTATGACATGGCGACGAAATTTGGCGAAAACAACGTGGTCGCGGCGGGTGTGACCTTGCCACATGTCGATAACACCAAAAAGAAGCCTCTGTCGAAATTTGATGCAAATCGGACGAGAAATGGCGAAGTTATGACATGGCGACGAAATTTGGCGAAAACAAGGTGGTGGCGGCGGGTGTGACCTTGCGACATGTCGATAACACCAAAAAGAAGTCTCTGTCGAAATTTGATGCGAATCGGACGAGAAATGACGAAGTTATGACATGGCGACGAAATTTGGCGAAAACAACGTGGTCGCGGCGGGTGTGACCTTGCGACATGTCGATAACACCAAAAAGAAGCCTCTGTCGAAATTTGATGCAAATCGGACGAGAAATGGCGAAGTTATGACATGGCGACGAAATTTGGCGAAAACAAGGTGGTGGCGGCGGGTGTGACCTTGCGACATGTCGATAACACCAAAAAGAAGTCTCTGTCGAAGTTTGATGGAAATCGGACGAGAAATGGCGAAGTTATGACATGGCGACGAAATTTGGCGAAAACAACGTGGCGGCGACGGGTGGGACCTTGCGACATGTCGATAACAGCAAAAAGAAGTCTCTGTCGAAGTTTGATGGAAATCGGACGAGAAATGGCGAAGTTATGACATGGCGACGAAATTTGGCGAAAACAAGGTGGTGGCGGCGGGTGTGACCTTGCGACATGTCGATAACACCAAAAAGAAGTCTCTGTCGAAATTTGATGCGAATCGGACGAGAAATGACGAAGTTATGACATGGCGACGAAATTTGGCGAAAACAACGTGGTCGCGGCGGGTGTGACCTTGCCACATGTCGATAACACCAAAAAGAAGCCTCTGTCGAAATTTGATGCAAATCGGACGAGAAATGGCGAAGTTATGACATGGCGACGAAATTTGGCGAAAACAAGGTGGTGGCGGCGGGTGTGACCTTGCGACATGTCGATAACACCAAAAAGAAGTCTCTGTCGAAGTTTGATGGAAATCGGACGAGAAATGGCGAAGTTATGACATGGCGACGAAATTTGGCGAAAACAACGTGGCGGCGACGGGTGGGACCTTGCGACATGTCGATAACAGCAAAAAGAAGTCTCTGTCGAAGTTTGATGGAAATCGGATGAGAAATGGCGAAGTTATGACATGGCGACGAAATTTGGCGAAAACAACGTGGCGGCGACGGGTGGGACCTTGCGACATGTCGATAACACCAAAAAGAAGTCTCTGTCGAAATTTGATGCGAATCGGACGAGAAATGACGAAGTTATGACATGGCGACGAAATTTGGCGAAAACAACGTGGTCGCGGCGGGTGTGACCTTGCGACATGTCGATAACACCAAAAAGAAGCCTCTGTCGAAATTTGATGCAAATCGGACGAGAAATGGCGAAGTTATGACATGGCGACGAAATTTGGCGAAAACAACGTGGTCGCGGCGGGTGTGACCTTGCGACATGTCGATAACACCAAAAAGAAGCCTCTGTCGAAATTTGATGCAAATCGGACGAGAAATGGCGAAGTTATGACATGGCGACGAAATTTGGCGAAAACAAGGTGGTGGCGGCGGGTGTGACCTTGCGACATGTCGATAACACCAAAAAGAAGTCTCTGTCGAAATTTGATGCGAATCGGACGAGAAATGACGAAGTTAAGACATGGCGACGAAATTTGGCGAAAACAACGTGGTCGCGGCGGGTGTGACCTTGCGACATGTCGATAACACCAAAAAGAAGCCTCTGTCGAAATTTGATGCAAATCGGACGAGAAATGG